ATTATAACAGAGGCTTGCTTCCCTGTCTTTCTGCAGTACACTAAATCCATTAAGGAAGACATTTTTAATGGTGAGGGTGGTAAGACACTGGCACAGATTTGCCCAGAAAAGCTGTGGATGCCCCCTCCCCAGAGGTGTTCAAGGTCAGGTCGGATGGTGCCCTGAGCAACCTCTACTGGGAGGTGTCCCGGTCCATGCAGAGTAGTTTGGAATTAGCTGAGTTTTAAGGTTCCTTCCAACTATTCTACGAGTCGATGAAGCTCAATAGTTATGTATTTTGTTTACCAGCATATTTTGTCTTACGGGGGAGTACTGTGATTTTTTTTGTAACTGTACAGTAATATTTTCTGGTATTGAATATGATGTGCACTTTACTACTGGTTCATCTATATGCTTAAGCAAAAATTTGTAAAGGAGAAAATTTGATATGGAAGAGGGAGGTGGAATTAAGAAGTGTGGGGTACAATGTACTTCTGATATCCTGAGAGCAGAAGGAATTTAAATTTTATCATTTTTAATCAAATCATTGTGGCATTTCTCCATATCAGAGGGTAATAACTTTAAAGCAAAAGTAACCTTTCAAAGCATAATCTAAATAAATGTTTATTCTCGCTGTTGTATTTCAAAAGCTGTCTGCAAAGAGAATGTTGGGGGTTTTCTTGTCAAAATACACAAACAAAAGAGACACAGTTCCAATTTCTGTAAAGATAATCAATTTACTCCAGGGTGGTTGTTCAGGTTTCCATTAAAGTTTGCCTATCCAGAGCTCCGGCCAGGTCACGTATCCCCAGTCAACGGCGACCAAGTCAGTTTTAGGACCCTGGTCCTTGTCCCTTCCCTGCTCCTGGCTGCAGGCAACCCCTACTGCTCCTGCCACAGCCACAGCTGCCACCGCTGCCACCAAAGCCCTGCAGCTCCTCCACCTGGACGGCGAGGGCAACTCTAGGAAGAAATCAGCCCTGGTTATTCCCATTAGCACCCCTTCCCACATTCCTATTGTATCTCAAGCCTCGATAATCCGCTTTGCAGTTTATTTACTTCAGGTTTCTAAGTTATCTTCCTTTTTCCTGCTTTCAGATATGGACTACTGCTACCGATGCAACAACAAAACCTACTGGGCTCCCGTCAACAGCACCACATGCTACAGAAAGACAATCCATTTCCTCTCCTGGACGGACTGGTTTGCTATTTTCCTCCTCCTCCTCTCTGCTTTTGGGGTTGTGTTGGTTTTGTCAATTAGTGTGATATTTACTAAAAACTTGAACACACCAGTGGTGAAGGCATCTGGAGGTCTCACCGTTTGCTATGTTATTCTCTTCAGCCACTTCTTAATTTTTTTAAGCACTGTCTTCTTCATAGATGAACCCACAGAATTCAAATGTAAAATGAGGCAAGCCCTCTTTGGCATAAGTTTTACACTCTGCATTTCATGTATTTTAATAAAGTCACTAAAAATTTTACTAGCCTTCAGCTTTGATCCCAAGCTGCAGAATTTCCTGAAATGCGTCTATAAACCTGTTCCCATCGTGGTCACCTGCACTGGAGTTCAAGTTATCATTTGCACCTTCTGGCTAATATTTAGGACACCTTTTGTAAAGCAAAATTTCTCAATTCCAAGAGCAATAATTCTGGAGTGCTATGAGGGCTCTATTGTGGCTTTCGGAATTATGCTGGGCTATATTGCTGCCCTAGCTTTCATTTGCTTCATATTTGCCTTTAAAGGTAGGAAGTTACCAGAGAACTACAACGAAGCTAAATTCATCACCTTTGGCATGTTAATTTACTTCATAGCGTGGATTGTATTTATCCCTGTCTATGCAACTACATTTGGCAAATACCTGCCAGCTGTGGAAATCATCGTTGTTTTAATATCCAATTATGGAATTCTCTGCTGCACTTTTCTTCCAAAGTGCTATGTCATCATTTACAAGCAAGAAACAAACACCAAATCTGCCTTTCTCAAAATGGTTTACACATATTCCTCCAAGAGCGCAGGCAGTGTTGCTGTTAGTCAGATTTCTTTGGATTCAAAGTCTTCCAGCTTCCGAGCTACTGTCTCAGACTCGTGTAAATCTGAGAAAAACTCTGCAAATGGAAATTGCCATTTCCAAGCACCTGGGCAGAGACTAATAAAAGGAAAAGTTCTTCCTAAAAATACTGCAAGGACTATGACCAGGAAAAGAATCTCCAGCATATGACTGGCATTGTTAAAGTACTAGAAGATGTAAAGCCATCTTTGGGAGCCATTTCTCTTTCAAGTCTCTTTCCTTTTGGCATCCTGAAGGAGAGCAGGCCACATGAAATGCCTTCTCCTCTGGTATTTAAGCAGCTATCCATTACCAAATTTGTAAGGCTTTCCAGGCTCACAGAATCCAGCCCCTGATCCTGGGCACCAAGAGGTGCAGTCTCCTTCAGCAGCTCCCTTCCTTCCCCAGCTTGCTCACATAGAACTGCAGGAACCTGTTCCCCAGTCTCACTTCCCCAAGTGAGGCACAAGCATCAGGAAATTATTATTTCTTGCAGACATGTAGGCAGGAGCATATAGGTTTATCCCATGCTCCTTTGATGCCCAATTGTTTAAGGAGCTCTTCTCATCTGGCCCTGTTCTATTGATCAAAGAGAACCCTCTTCCATCCTTTGTTTGCTCGGATAAACAAGCTAAGTCCTTTCGTCTCCACTGTTAAGATAGGTTTTCCATTCTTCTGAGCATCCAAAAGTTACCCTTTTTTACACTGCAACAGTGAATCTTTTTTTTTCCTCCCCAAAACAGCCCACCTTATTCCAGATGAGTGCTGCAGTAACTTTTAAAGTCCCTTGCATTTACCAGGATTACAATAAACTAGCCACAATTCTATATAAAAATTAAAGAATATACCTGGATCTCTGTAGTTATACATATGTTCATCTACCTTTTTCCTTATACAGCAATACACTCATTCAGCTCATCCACCTCCTCTGATGCATGACAAGAGAGGACCCACTATGTTTGCCCCCAGGTGTCCTCTTAGTTGAGGATGTAGTGTCAATGTGTATTGTCAAACCTTATAAAGATTAATTGATTCCTCTCATTAGCATAAATAATGACCAGGAATAGCATGAGTGCATCCTAAGAATTTTTGCTCTTTTGATGCATATTTTAAAAATCTGATTTTCAACAAGAAAATGACAATGCACCATTCTGATACATAGGAATAGCACATGAATTAACTGATGTGAGCTGCACTGGATGAGTCTCTGCTCTGTAGCTCCATGAACATAACTATGCTGTGCTTTCTACAAGAGGCAAAAGGTATGTTCAGAGGAGGAATTTTTCTGCTGGGACCACAGTACCACAGAACGTTTTCAAACCTTTAAGAGCAGAGCTGTGTTGCCAGTCCAGGACTGTGAAGGATACTTTTCTGAGTTCCTAAACCCACGGCTTGAACCATAAAATTTTCCTCTTTTAATTTATGTGCTATGTGACCATCAAATAATGCTCATTTCTTGAGTTTTGTCCATGCTTCTGTTTAGATCTGAAATAAATAGAAGTTGTGGCAGGCCAAAATAAAATGTAGTACATGTGACCTTACACATACATATTGTATTATTGTTATGTAAAATAAATCTATTTTTCTATTATTTCTATTTATGTGTTGTAAACTGTATCTGTATGATTTTTTCCTACTTATATTTTGTAAAAAAACATATATAAATGTCATTTCAAGGGTGGACACGGGCAATGAAATTACTGTGACATGATGACTATGTATGAAATACATATCTGTGAAAACATTTTTAAAGTAATTTGAATAGCAAGGGTGCAATTTACATACATATTTAGGTAATTAGGTAAGTTCTATAACTGATCAGGAGAATTAAGATTTATGCACATGTTTAAATGATGAATGCTGTTCACACATCATTTGTTGCAAATACTGTTCTGAATATAAAATTATGTACAATAGGGTTAATATTCCCACAGTTTCGCTGCCAATGCAGCAAAAAGTCTCTCCTCAAAAGAGAGAAGCAAAGGTTAAATTGCACAACACCTGTCAGCACTAAACTAGGTTAGAAAAGGTAACTGTCTCAAACATTGCATCTGTATTTATTGTTTTCAGAAGTGTTGAGCATGTCAAGACTTGGAGGTGCAAGGGAAGGGGATGATTAAAGCCATATCATTATTTAAAATTGGGTTTGCTTTCTTAATTTCCTTATCTTTCCTCATTAACTTTGGTTTGGCCTTAAACAGTTACAATACACAAACCTATGCTGTGTTTCCACCCAGTAGACCTCAGTTTGCTTCTTACAAATATCCTTTAGATGGAAAGCTAAGAATGGTGGGGCATTCCCCTCTACAGGACAATGAGACAATGAGGAAAGAGTCTTGAGGAATAGGGAGTGGACATAACAGTATGAGCGTGTCTACAGAGCTGTCTTTAAGGAAAGACGTCGCATAAGGGAGGATTTCAAAGGAGTCCTGCATGCTATGTCTGCCTTTCCAGATACTCAGGTCTTCTGTGTAAATCACAGTCAACGGTGGCACGAGAGGGTGTAACAGATGTGCTAGCTAGACTTGGCAGAAAAAAAAAGAGACACTGTACCAGGTCGTATATGTCTTTAAATGCCTTGTCTGCAAGAAGCAAGTGAGCATATGTAAGTAGAACACAAAAGGATCATGTGATCCTATACTGAGGATAAAAAAAGCTGAAAAAAAGGGCTTTGTTATGCTAAAGCCAGCATTAGTATGCATCTCCTTGCCCAGAACTGTAAGCATTCCAGTGATCTAACCATTCCTGTTCCCAGGCACAGATATTAAATGAGCCTGAAACAGGTGTTCGTCCCCAAAGGACAGAAAAGGAATCACCTTCCCAAGTCAGAGGGAAGTCATAGCACAGTCTCCCTGGAACTGCAGCCCATGGATCAGACTGTCTGGGGGTGAAGGGGTTGGCTCTTCTTTCCAGCTCTTAGCACACTCCGGTCACTTACTTTGGAAAGACCCCGACACTTCTCAAAATGCTAACATGTATGTGCCCACCTGCAAGCTGTCCATCTCCAAGAGCAACAGGGAGGACACATGGTCCTCAAATACAGTTGCTGTCCCCAGGTGAGTAAAGTGTGAAAACACCAGTTGCTGAAGTTAGTGGGAGGCTGCTCTAATGTAACCACTATTTAACCTTTTGTGGTTTCATGTAATTTATTGTTAATGATGTTAAATTATGCATTCTGAAGCCTCTATCACATAGTGTACAGTATCTTTAGAGATAATTAAGACTATGAAGGCAACCAAGTTTTTTAAGTCCCAAGAAATAATTCCCTCAAGTTTTCAGTAGCTCTAGCTGGACAGATGCCTTTCAGCTGCCCATAATCTGTACAGAAGTTCTTTAGCGAGTGCTGGGAACCACTATTTGTGAGCTCTAGGCTTCCTCCCAGCAGCTGTTGGAACTGCAATGACTGAATGTGTGGGTCACCAGCACGACTCATAACGTAGATGTTGAGCAGTGCAGCCCAGCTGTGCTGACCCTTCCTGCCCTTCCCAGCTGTGTCTCCAGAGACAAGGAGCACTGCTTGACATTAGGCCACTCTGTTTGAGCAGGAAGAAGGCAAAGGAGCTACTGGCAGACTGTAATCCTGGTATCACCCTCCAGGTCATTTCTACTGATGTGTCTTCATCTCCCCAGCAACGTTCTGAAATAGGGCAGCGTTGCTCAGGGGAGAGGTGTGTGTATGCAAAGAGATGGATATTCCTCCTTTTTGTTATTTTTAGAAGGACATGAGAAACCCACAGTGGAGCTTTGATTCAGGGGGCCAGATTCTTCTTCTTTTTAGAGAATGGCTCATTTACAAATAGAAGGTTTGTTCTGAAATAGAATGTGGGAATTTCATTTTTTTTTAGTTAGTGTGACTTAAATGAATCGGAATGTCTTTGATGATTTACTGAATATGGCATTTTATTGTTTTAATAATAGAATCACAGAATCATAGAATGGTTTGGGTTGGAAGAGGCCTTGAAGAGTATCTAGATCCAACTGCCCTGCATAGACAAGGACACCTCCCACTAGACCAGGTTGCTCAAAGCCCCATCCAACCTGGCCTTGAACACTTCCAGAGAGAAGGCATCCACAATATCCCTGGGCAACCTGTTCCAGTGTCTCACCACCCTTACACTGAGGAATTTCTTCCTAATGTCTAACTTAAATATCTTCCAGCTTAAAGCCATTACCCCTTGTCTTATCATTACACACGACCTTATAAAAAACCCCTCCCCAGCTTTCCTGCAGACCTCTTTCAGGTACTGGAAGGCTGCTATAAGGTCTCCTCAGAGCCTTCTCTTCTCCAGGCTGAACAGCCCAATTCTCTCAGCCTGTCTTCGTAGGAGAGATGCTCTAACCCTCAGTTCATCTTTGTGGCCCTCCTCTGGACTCGCTCCAAGAACTCCATGTCTTGCCTGTGTTGAGGGCAGTACTCCAGGTGGGGTCTCATGGATGTGGAATACAGGGGCAGAAACATCTCCCCTGACCTATTGGCCACACTGCTTTTGATGCAGGCCAGGATAATGATTTTGGGGTGGAAACTGTACACGTGTGAATGCCAAAATATCAACATGGGACTTCTTACTGAATAGAAAGTGCTTTTTAAAATATCTTTCTGGAATGATATGTTATTCAAGCAGCATTTTAGAATACTTTTGATCTCAAGGATGCTAGAGCTCACTTATAGTGACAAATTTCTGATCTCCTCTACTCAGAAATTTGCTTTCAGGAAGAGCTGCTTATCTCTATCTCCGCTCCTGAAAATAGATAACTGAAGGTTATGGCTACAAACAGTCCCAGACTCCTCATTTTTGCTGTCACACTGAACACAGAACTTTAGCTGCTGCCAGACAGTTATCCATCCCTGGGGAATGGGGCTTCCTGTGTTCATCTGCAGGCGTTCTGGCAGTGGTTAACAGATGTTAAATCTTCCACCGTGTGGTGCCTCAGTGGAGACAGTGTGTTGCACTGGCACTGGTATTGTGCTGGCATGGGATGCAGATTACTGAATATGCATTCTGTGCTGACTTTTCTGATTTTATTTTCTTTAAGGACGTGTTTTTCCATTCAATATTTTCAACTGAAGCGAACAGAAACGCCTGTGGTGGCATCAGTACGTTGGAACCCCTTGGAAATGGTCAAAT